CATCGTCATTTGCGGACGATACAAGAGTGCTGATTACTAATGAGCTACTAGTGGCCACCAGGAGACCGGAGGACTACAAGTCTCCACCAGGGTACGCTACTAGTTAGCTACTAGTGGCCACTAGTGGCGGCCAGTGGACATACAAGGACCAGTGACCAAAGGCCGTCCCTGAGCTGGAGGTCCAGAGGCGCGGTGACAGAGAGACAGTCAGGCAAGGTGCTGGTGACACTTGTGGCGGTGACGCTAGTGGCAGTGACACTAGTGGTAGTGACACTAGTGGTAGTGACACTAGTGGTAGAGACACTAGTGGTAGTGATACTAGTGATAGCGCAAAACAGTGCGCCGAATTCATGACGCTTGTGGATGCATCTGCCGTTGCCGCATGCGAAGTGGTCGCCGGTGCAGCCAGCGATAAATAAAGGAAGTCTTGAATGTCTGGCTAACTAATTATTATAAATTACTAATTTTATACAGGGTGATTGGGTTTCCTGAACGCGATCCGAGGAAAAATATAATGTCGGGCTAACTAATTTTTATAAATAACTAATTTTATACAGGGTGATTGGGTTTCCTAAACGCGATCCGAGGAAAAAAAATATATATATAGAAAATAGTTTCTTCAATAGGGGATGGTTGTGTGGAGCCGCCGCCCATGAATGTCACGTATCTCCACTGAATATACGGTTAATTCGCCCAGCTGCTCTGCGGACCATTATGTTGTTAAATTTGTCAACGAATTTCATGAGGTGAAAAGTGTTTCTTGATGAAATAGCGTTGTGAAACGTTTCCTATGCCTCCAATAGAGAAATATATTTAGAATTCTAAAAAATGCGATTAAGTCAGTGCTAAGATTTGACAGCAGATTCTAACATTTGCATATGAGGTATAAAACTTAATCAAAGCTCACTCACGTCACTCACGTCACTCACGTCACTCACGTCACTCACGTCACTCACGGCACTCACGTCACTCACGTCACTCACGTCACTCTCATCAACTAGTGTGGGATCAACTAGTGGAGGTCAACAAGTGGAGGTCAACTAGTGGAGGTCAACTAGTAGAGGTCTACTAGTGGAGGTCAGCTAGTGGATGTCAACTAGTGGAGGTCAGAGGAGTAGCGTGCGGCATACATGCACTAGTGAGGTCACTAGTGACACACTAATGGAGCACTAGCAAGGAATGCCCTTCAGAGTAAGTCACTAGTAGCAACAACAGAGGCTAGCAGTAGCAGAAGTGCCGGCAGCCACTAGTGTTAGCCCTAGTAGTAGCTACTGCCACTAGTAATGAGCTACTAGTGGCCACCAGGAGACCGGAGGACTACAAGTGGCCACCAGGGTACGCTACTAGTTAGCTACTAGTGGCCACTAGTGGCGGCCAGTGGACAGACAAGGACCAGTGACCAACGGCCGTCCCCGAGCTGGCGGTCCAGGGGGGCGGTGACAGAGAGACAGTCAGGCAAGGTGCTGGTGACACTAGTGGTAGTGACACTAGTGGTAGTGACACTAGTGGTAGCGCAAAACAGTGTGCCGAATGCTCTCATAGGGGATGGTTGTGTGGAGCCGCCGCCCATGAATGTCTCGTATCTCCACTGAATATACGGTTAATTCGCCCAGCTGCTCTGCGGACCATTATGTTGTTAAATTTGTCAATGAATTTCATGAGGTAAAAAGTATTTCTTGATAAAATAGCGTTGAGCTACGTTTCCTATGCCTCCAATAGAGAAATATATTTAGAATTCTAAAAAAATGCGATTTTTTTTGCTGATATTTGACGGCAGATTCTAACATTTGCATATGAGATCAAAGCAGTTCCAGCGTCGCATTCTCAACGCTTGTGGATGCATCTGCCGTTGCCGCATACGAAGCAGCCTGCGATAAATCAAGGAAGTCTTGAATGTCGGGCTAACTAATTATTATAAATAACTAATTTTATACAGGGTGATTGGGTTTTCTGAACGCGATCCGAGGAAAAATATATATCGGGTAAGAATGTGATGTATGTGTTTTTATAACATCGCATCAGAAGTGGTGGAAAAGTCTCAATATGCAATAAGTTCAGCGGGCCCAAAACTTCATGTGGGAAGAAAATCCAGGCCCCAGAAGAGGTTAAACTCGACAACTCGACTTTAGTCAAAGCATGCTTGCGAAACATTGAAAATAATTCAATAGTGAAACGTTATAATTGAATGTAGTCGAGGAATAATTCATTTAAATTCAAGAAAATAATTGAAAGTTGGTGATCCAGAAAAGGGTGGCCCACGGAGGAGTGATACAGCGAGGTTGGCTCAGGGAATGATGATCCAGGGATGATGGACCAGGGAGGGATGGCCCAGGGAGGGTTTATCCAGGGAAAGGTGATCCAAAGATAATGGGAAGGGTAGCCCAGGGTGAAAATGGGGTGATAATGGGAAGGGTAGCCCAGGGAGGGATGGCATCATTGAATACACATCACTAATGTATGTTCAATAATATTTTATTGATTACGACTTATTGATATAATTGATTGCTTCGTAACTAGCGACGCAATAAGTGACCCCCGTGACGTAAATCGTGGCACAATATGTTGTTGTTGCGAAACATTATAGTTGAATGCAGTCGAGGAACAATTATATTTCATAATTTTGTTAGTCGTGAAAATAATTGAATGTCAAGAGCAGAAACAGAACCTCATATCAACTCGAAATAAAAGACAGTATAATTGCGCGGAAGCGTTTGACTCATCAGGCAACTCACAGTCGCGCTCGTCGCTGTCGTCGCCGTACCAACAGTCGTTGTGTCCGTCGCACCGCTTCCACTCCTCTATGCAGCGGCCGGTGTCGGCGCACTTGAACCAATCAGAGAAGCGGCACGGGCCTGCAATCACAGGTAATGCGGTAAAGAATTGTCAGATCCCAATTGAAAAATTCTAATGTGTGTATTCATTTTTTGTCGTCACAATGTAATTGCTCTACTTAATTAATTTGTCATCAGTTATGTTATTGCTTTAATTACTTTCAAAATAAAATTGATTTATCTCGAAGGAAGGATGAAGACTTCGGGGCGTCTTTATCGGTTTTAAGCGTTTGGGTTATTAGGCGGGCTGCATATGAGCTCATCACTGAATGAGTGTTTCGTTTTAATAAGATTTTATTGAATGAGGGGAGTGGGGGAACCAGGGTAATGTGGTGCTGTAACGTCATTTCAAAATAAAATTGATTTATCTCGAAGGAAGGATGAAGACTTCGGGGCGTCTTTATCGGTTTTTAGCGTTTGGGTTATTAGGCGGGCTGCATAGCTCATCCCTGAGTGAGTGTTTTGTTTTAATAAGATTTTATTGAATGAGGGGAGTGGGGGAAGAGATTACCAGGGGAATGTGGTGCTGTTACGTCACTCACGACACTCACGTCAATCACGTCACTCACGTCACTCACGTCACTCACGTCACTCACGTCACTCACGTCACTCACGTCACTCACGTCACTCACATCACTCACGTCACTCACGTCACTCACGTCACTTACGTCACTCACGTCACTCGTGTCTCTCTCGGCACTCACGTCACTCACGTCACTCACATCACTTAGCCATCATATTAATTTAATACCTACGCCGACTTATGATGTGATGCCACACACACTTACTGACTCATCACATCAGCCGTGTACTCACAATGCTTCTCATCACTCCTGTCCAGGCAGTTGTTCCAGCCGTCGCATTCATTACGCTTGTGGATGCATCTGCCGTCGCTGCACCTGAAGTGTTCGCCGGTGCAGCCTGCGATAAATCAAAGCCGTGAATGGCGAGTTGCGGTGATATTATAATCCCAGTGAGCTATTAATTTAATACCAACGCCGACTTATGATGTGATGACACACACACTTAGTGAATCATTACGTCAGCTAAGGAATAATTGAATAATTTTAATAATAAAATAATTTAATATTAAAATTAAAATAGTACTAAAATTAAATAATATTACCAATAAAATAATTTTAATAAACTTATTTCCACATAAATATTTTACGCAGGGTGATTTCCTGAACGCGAAGCGAGGAAGAATGGGTAGTGGTAAGAATGTGATGAATGTGTTATTAATAACATCACAGAGGGGGTCTCAAAAAGTCTCAATATGCAATGTGTTCAGCGCGCCCAAAACTTCAAGTGGAAAGAAAATCCAGGCCCCAGAAGAGGTTAAACTCGACAGCTCGACTTTAGTCATAGCATGATTGCTAATGGACGTTAGCAAGCATGCTAACCATCATTATTATTATTATTATAACGTCCATGCTAATTAGTAATGGACGTTGATAGCGAAACGTTATGATTGAATGTTAGGCGCAGAAGCAGATCCTCATATTAACTCGAAATAAAAGATAGTATAATTGCGCGGAAGCGTTTGACTCATCAGGCAACTCACAGTCGCGCTCGTCGCTGTCGTCGCCACAGTCAAAGTATCCGTTGTTGCGTCCGTCGCACCGCAGCGTCTCGCGTATGCAGCGGCCGTTGGCGCACTTGAACTGATCAGCGCGGCACACGCCTGCAATCACAAGTAATTAGGTTAAGAATTTTCATATCCAGAAGAAAAAATTCTAACGTGTGTATTTGTTATTATTTTGTGGTCATAAAGTAGCGTGTATCAAAGTGTAATTATTGATGTTATTATTAAGTTAATTTTCTCAATGAAATTTATTTATCTCGAAGAAAGGATAATGACTTGGGGCGTCCTTGTTGGTTATTAGCGTTTACGTTATTATGGGCTGTGTAATGCAGGGTTGTACAGCAGTTAGCTGGGCTCTGTAATGCAGGGTAGTACAGCAGTTAGCTGGGCTGTGTAATGCAGGGTTGTACAGCAGTTAGCTGGGCTGTGTAATGCAGGGCTGTACAGCAGATAGCGCAGAACCCAGATAAATTTGGTCGTACTAAATGTAATGAATTCACTAGGATGATAAAGTCAATGAGGAATGCAGGTGTCCTATCATGTGAAAACTTTATATCGGCAGCATATGAATTAGTAGAAATTTGGGTTCACCATGGCAAGGAGTGGCCAGTCATTTATAAAATTTCAGATTCTGTCGCTTTACCCATTGCTCATTTACAGTGTCTTGCTGGTGTGCATTTTAATCCAGTGTATAATAGTAAAACTTCGCCTTTAACATGTCTCATTAAAGAAAAATGCATATATGTCACATGTCGCTTGTCCTGATGAAAAATCTTATTCTGAAACAGATCCTGTTAATCCAATGTCCATTGTAAACTACCATGCTTCACTGTGCAATTTTTCACACAAAATTGATTCCTCATGTTTTGTTATTAGCATTTCATCCGTGTACTTTTGTTCTCTTATTGATACCGGTGCCCAAGTTTGTCTCATAAGCAACACTGCCTACGATGCTATCTCGCAGCGTGACCCCTCATGTTGTCATGCGTAGTTCCAGCGATAAACTAGTAACTGGAATAAATAGCAGCGAAACGAGAGTTTTATGTGTCGTGGATTTAAGACCAAGTATTTTCGCAATTCGAGTTAAGCATTCCATGCCTTTTGGAGTTAAACTCGCTGGAATTGAGTTACGGAGTTGAATCTGCTGGTTTATCTCCGGTCGCTTTCGTTGATTACTCTTCAGTACTGCAAGCTTGACAGCAATATCCTACTTATTCAGTCTCCGCCTTCATCAGTGCTTGACATCGTTGCTGGTAAATAGATCTCACACAAATTTTCTGACTGAAGCAATCCAATACTGAAAGTCACTCTTCTCGATCGCACTCTGTCGTCACCAAACGTTGAATCTTGAATTGCTATGCTGGATCTACTTGACCTCAGTTCGCAATCCAACGAGTACCAATTTTCTACTTGATCTGGCTCCATAAGATCTCGATGAAATAACTNATCTTGAATTCATATGCTGGATCTACTTGACCTCAGTTCGCAATCCGACGAGTACAAATTTTCTACTTGATCTGGCTCCATAAGATCTCGATGAAATAACTGGTCAGTTGTCAAGGTTACAGAACCGATTTACACTAATTATTTCCTTTATTCGCTTCAATCTTCTCAAGAGCCCCGAAAGTTTACCATTTTTCGCATTTTTTATATCTATCTTGCCATTGCTTTTCCATTTTTTACCATCGTGAAAATCTGTTTTGAATCGCAAGAAGAGATACTGGCTGTATTCTAGCTAAGTAAACGCTTTGACATTCTCTGGCGATTTTTTCAAAGAGGGGCAGCTAGTGAGGGGACATTCTCTGGCGATTTTTTTAAAGAAGGGCAGCTACTGAGTGGACATTCTCTGGCCAATTTTTTAAAGAGGGGCAGCTAGTGCTATACTGTGCTATTAGTGCTATTGCTATTTACTAGCACTAATACTACTACTAGCTAGCAGCTAGTTCTATTTACTGCTATACTAGATCGTCTCAGGCGATTTTTTTGAAGAAGGGCAGCTACTGAGTGGACATTCTCTGGCCGATTTTTTTAAAGAGGGGCAGCTACTGAGTGGACATTCTCTGGCGATTTTTTTAAAGAAGGGCAGCTACTGAGTGGACATTCTCTGGCCGATTTTTTAAAGAAGGGCAGCTGGTGAGGGGACATTCACTGCCGATTTTTTTAAATATGGGCAGCTAGTAAGGGGACATTCTCCGTCGAGCGTAGGAGGCATGACCCAGCAGTTGGGGAATGTACACACCTCGCAACATCACCAAACACGAATCACTGGACCAGAAGAGCCAAGTCTTTAAGTCTAGAAATTTCTAGCGAACAAGGAAATTTCGGGAGACTAAAATATATAACTCAAAAGTGATCTTGTAACCCCAAAAATGATAGCTAATGAAATCTCACAAAGATTACAGAAGACAGAAGAACCTTCATAGCCCTCGTCCCGCAATTATATTAGACAGGCAACAAGTCACCCGCGACGCCCCGAGGCGCATGGTTGCAAGTATAGATTCAATTCTTACGCCCGGCGCCTAAATTGCGGCGACGCTGCCCGCCGGACACGACGATGGTATCCATGATACAGGCTTCAAGCTGCAACATGCCCGCACTCAAAAATATAATGGAGATAATTGACAGCAATGTGGTGCCTTTCACAGGCAACCATAGATGTTCGCGGCATTTCTGGTGCAGCTTAAAGGATAACTTAGACGCGTTACCATTGAAGGGGACATAATGTGCGAAGATTTCAGAGAAGAAATTGATTGGAGAAAACTGTATTTACAGTTACGTCTACGGTTAACTCAAGCACAGCTTCAGAATTGCTAGTAGTATTTCCTTTGAAAATGTACTCCTATGCACAGGAGGGAAGACTTGTCTCCCTTTAACTTGTTCGAGAGCCCACGTCGTCCATCGTTCGAGACGTTGAAAGCTTCGTCCTAGCCACTGCACTGATTTACTGCTATACTAGATCGTTTCCACTTTTATTGCCCTTCGTTTCTTAATTTCGAGTGTGTGCGGATTTTTTCTCTTCATGTGATGGATCAGATTTTCTAGTAGGTAGACGACAACGTGTCAGTATTAACGGAACCGTGTCAGGCTGGGCATCAAGTGCGCAGTGGCAAGCCATAAGGTAACGTTCTTGGGCCTATTTTGTTCGTTGCTTCTATAAACGATCTGCCAGAAGCTATGTCCAGCGTGTGCTCCATGTATGCCGATGAAACAAAAGTTTATAATACAGTTATGGATGCGTCAAGTAAAGTGCAATTGCAAGATGATCTTGATAATTTAGTTAACTTGGCTGATACGTTGCAGCTGGGTTTTAATGCTGACAAGAGTAAAGTACTAAACCTCGGGAAGAACAATTAACAGCAAGATTACAGTATGAGAAGACATGGTTGCAACGAGAGAGTAATGATTTTTATTTGGGTAATCTTGAAAACATAGTTTCTGCAAGTATGACATCAGAAATATTAGCTATCTAATACACGAGATAAATAAATATAAGCAAAAGTAAATCCAAGTTAACCAAAACTATCATATCAGAATCAATAACTAAAGAATAATAAATTGCAGCACTAAACTCACCGAAGTATTTTGCCACTAAAGAGGTTTGAACTCCGAATGACAATTTATCTCCAGGTAAATTTCGGTCGGATGACTGAAGGTCTAAACAAAAAGATTACGTGAAGCGTACATGTGAAGGATTGCGATTACAATTATTTTATAAAACTTCCAAGCCTCTGTTATCAAACCTCATTGATCGAAGTATAAATGTATACACCAGGGACCACGGTTATAAGCTAAAAATAATGCGATGCAACTCATCCACACGACAAGACTTCTTGACGCTTCGAGCCACCGACACGTTGAATAGCCTCCCTGATTACATCGTTGGCGCTCCGAGTATGAACGCGTTCAATAACAGACTGGATAAAGTTATGGAAAAATATATGTTCAGACTTGAAATGCCTCGCACCATATCGAACCCGGTGGAAGTCTAGTAGCTATTTCATTCGTCATTTTCGAAGACCCGGTCAAACGACCTGTCTTCAGATCTCCTGTGAACAAGTCACGAAAAGTACAAGATTCGGCGACAGGCCACATCAGGCCCACTCTTCAGCGCCAACATCACTATGATATGACATGATTAGATATATGAAGACTTCAACTGCATGTTTGAGCATCTCTGCCAACTCTTTGAATCTCCGTCCCCCATTTGTTTTCAGCTGCACGACTTTATATTATGTACCAATCTACCATAATTAGATTTGCTAGATATACCCAATTATAGTGGCTTGATGTAAATTATCACAAATTATTAACCAGTAGCTGGACCTTCATTTTAACTCAGCATGTTTGCACTCCTCTTAACCCTCAGCAAGAGTGGAGCCGCTCGTACAATTTCCCCCATTTTCCTGCTGATTGATTTCTTCGAGGGCTTTTGCTTTGGTGCCTTCAAAGCAGGTTAATGAGTTGGCATGCTGCTTGTTAAATTCCTCATTATATTGCGTTATCACTTGAAACTTGGCAGATAAAAATTTGTCAAGCGCATAATTTGGGCAACATTTGGAACTTTAATTGTGTTGTAAAATTTCCTAATCAACTTCATTATTGGATACAATTAATCCCCTTCACCTGGCTAGACTTGCGAGAGGAGTGAAATTGTATCGATGTGTCATTCAAATAATTATAATACTTTGATTGCACGTTGATAATAGTAATACTTTGACTCATGTTACTCACATCATGGGCAGTTGTTCGACTCATGGCGTTCATTTGTTTCCGTCTTTTACGGCTTTCGTAAAGCTACTTTCGTATTTTCACGTCTTAATCTCCTACTTGATGCAATATGAACAGAAATTAAGTAAATAAATAAGTATTAAAAATATGTAGTGTTCAAAGGCAAAATTTTGGGGCACAGTAGCTCAATTTTTCGTCAACTGGAGCAGCCGGCGCTACTGTGTCACTGAACGAGTCGCTTGCATATAAATACGCCGATCCTACCTGTAACCGGATGCGTCTATCTCCTCTAGCAAATAAACAGCGACGAAAAGCCTTGTAACATGACGGAGTTCCCAATCCCAACACACGAGAATACTCGCGAGT